TGAGAAATATAGGAAAAAAATATTACTAGATATAGTTAGATTATAAATCAAAAAAAACAAAACTAGATAAAGCATATGAATATAATTACAGAAGATAGTATTTCTAATATATAAAATATTATATTAAGTTTAATAGATATTTCTGTTTATGTAGTAGTTTAATAGTATGCTCTGATCACAAGTAGTTACCAAGATAAATGCATGCAGTTATGTAGTAAATATGCACTTAGATGCCATATGGATAACCAAGTAAAGTCAGTAGTATAATATTAGATAGCAAATATTGTACTAGTATAATCAATTTTAAATATGTAACTATAAAACCTATACTATATTAAAAAAATTAAAGCTTTTTTTATTTATTTATATAATATCATAGTAGAAACTTTAAAATACAATAAGAAATTTAATTATATAAAAAATTTTTAAAATAAAGATTTCTAAACTATATTTGTGTTGCTAAAAAAGACATCCAATATGATATTACACCTTCTATTTCCTAATGAGTACTATAGATATTTGTTTTAAATTATTTTCTAGCTAGAATAGGTTGAAAGAAACTTTCATTATATTCAAGTTTAGTTAAGTTTAGTTTAAGTTTAGTTTAAGTTTAGTTTAAGTTTAGTTTAAATTTAGTTTAAGTTTAGTTTAAGTTTAGTTCAAGTTCAAAATTAAAAAATTCAGTTCAGTTTAATTTAGATTTAATTAAATTGAACTAAACTTATTTAAATTGAACTGAACTTTAGGAACTTTAACCAAAACAGTTAGTAGTATTTATTTTCTAATTAGAATTGTATAATCAATATTTTGAAATTATTATAATGTACAAAATCTTTATATTTATAATTTTGCTAATGCTATTGCTATAATACTATCTATATATTATATAGGTAATTATCTAAATTTTTATTATCAGTAGATTTCAAACTTATAATCTACTATTTAGAGAATTGACAACTTAACTACTTCACTAAGTTGCTACATCTCTTTAGTTAAATTTTTAAAAATCTTCTGTATTAAAAGTTATAATAATTTAAAAAATTAAAACAATTTATATAATTATTAAGTAATTAAAACAACTTATTCTAAGTGTGCATTACAGAATATTATTGTTACATTTAAATATTAAATAATATAAATTATATATATATATATATATAATTAACTAATATATTTTATTTTATTTTTTGATATTAAGATAAAACCTTGCTTTTATCTTTATTCATAGTCATTAAGTAGTAATTACATAGAGTTATTAGATACAAAAAGAAGTTTTATATATGCTATAGCTAAGACCAATACTTGCAGTCAGAGCAAACTATTAAACTGCTAACTATAAAACTATAACTCTAAGTATTATAAAGCTACATATAAGAATAAGAGTTTAAACATATTTATCTGTAGCTTAAACTTACTAAAGTGGCTAAGACTCACCTAGATTAGTTAAAAATTTTAAATAATATTCATTACTCTAGTATATACTAGTAAGTTACTCATAAATTTTGCTAAATATTTATACTATTGAAAGTTAATTATATCATTATAAATAAAAGAAACCAAAGATAAGATAAATAAATATAAAATAAAATATAATTAAAAAAGTAAAAAATAATATCAATTGGATAAGCAATAGATAAAAAAAGTTAACAGAATTATAAGAGTGTAGCTAAAACAAATAGTATAAATTCGATAGATAAATAGATAATAAAGTTAACAGAAATATATAAATATTACTAAAAGAAGAAACTATTATCAAGTTCATCAATAATTTTAGATATATTAAAAATGTAAGTAAAGTTAGTTTCTGATATTATAGACTAACAATATTAAGTTTTTTAATAATATATTAGTTTGCTTGATTGAAGTATAACTTGTTAAGATTTTTTTAAAATTGAATAATAGTTAGTTTAGAGATTTTGATAATGTTATAGTAGGTAATAATTTTAGCTAAGATTTGTAGATCATTTGTTTGAGAGAAGATTTGTTCAATACTTCTTTAAAATTGAAATTAATAATTTTATTATTTGTTATTACAAATTTAAAATAAGCTTTAAAATAGCAGTAAAAGAAATAAAATATATATTTAGAATTAGTAGGTACAGTATATTGTTTAGTTAGATAAAGTTTTGTTCAAATTGGTCAACTAGTTTATAAAGTTCTTTAAAAGATAAGAGTGTATAGAATATTGCTAAGGTAAATGTAAAAAGATTTAAAAACAGATATATATATTGTTGAATAGGTATAGTGTTAAAGGATTGTTTAAAATAATAAAAGTTAGATTATAGATATTATGAATTGTTTTTGGATTAAGAATTTTATATTTTTTCAAATTGGTGCAAGTGTATATATGATATATTGCTATTTTAGTAGTATAATTTGTTCGGTCTTAAATGAATTAGATAATTGGTAGTTTAGATTTTTAAAAGATTAGTTTCTTGTATTCATTATTAATTGCTATTATTATTTGATATCTAATATAGTTGTAAACTTTTTGTTTATTGATATTACTAAATTGTTTTTTGTAATACGTAAAAAATTTTTGAAACCAGATATTAAATTATAATTTAATTAAATGAAAAAATGAAATATGATAATTTGTATTAAATTCTTCAAGAATAATATTTATAATAATGTTAATATAAAATTTAAAAGTATTGTAAATTTATAAAATAGGAGTATTGTTTTTCAAAATATATGAAATATGATTTATATATATAAAGGTTTTTAAATAAATAGGTTTAAGTTATAAATTATGAAAGAATTTTTAATAATTAATAGTTTGATATTTGTTATATAGAAATAGATAAAGTCTAATAAGATTTATAATAATTTGAAATTATTTTTTAATTAAGTAAAAAGAAATAAAATAATATGAATTAAAAAGTTGTTTGTAATTTGTTTTATAAAAAAAAGTATAAGTAAATTTGTTAAGCCAGTTTTTTGTTATACTAATAAGAATTTTAAAAGATATTTTAGTTGCTTCAGTAATATATAGGTTTTTGTTTAGAATTGTACCTATAATAAATTTGTTTATTGGTTACTATAATTTGAATTAATAAGCTAAAATTATTTTTTATAACAGATTTGTTGATTATTATAAAATTAATAATAGAATTAGGATAAAAAGCTTAAAGATTAGTTTTAAGAAATCTAATATTTGAATTCTAGATATTATAAGTATAGATAAAGATGAGTTTTCTAAGATGAAATAGCTTTTAAACTAGTTTAAAAAATAATTTTGTTGGGTTGTAATTTGTAGTTTTATTTTAGAATTATAAGTATAATAATGATAAAAAGATATTTAAAATTATAGACCTGTTGATTAATAGCAAAGTGGTTATGCTCCCAGGTCACCAATCGCAAGGTTTCTAGTTCAAGTCCAATAGGGGACAAAAACTAAGTTAGAACCATGATTGTTAATTAACTACAGCTAACTGTGAACTACGAAAATAAGAAGATCTTCAGTACTCAGATCCTTAAATGGTGACGGACTTAACATAAAAAGGCCGTGATGATTAGAGAGCTGAGGATAATAATAAAACAAAAGAATCCCTGATTAGGAATAATCTTAGTGAAATTCTGGAGTAATAGTAACACAGAAATTAGTATATAAATAGTACTGTAAAATGTATACAAATAATGTAAAAATATAGACAGGGTCCTGATAGAAGGTATTGTGAATTTAAAATAAGAATTAATAAAACAGCCACCAGCTGCGGCCCACTAGTGACCAAGCAGTGGGAAATTCAAAAAAAAAAATATTTAAAATTATAAATAATTTAGAAAAGAGATATAGAAAGAATTTTTTAAATAGTTTATAGTATGAGTAAAGTGTTTTATAAAATAGTTAATAAAAAAAAAAATATAAAAAAAATATGAATTGAGCAAGAAAATTGAGTTTTCAAAATTACTAATAAATTTTTCAAAGAGTCAATGAAATTTTCAGATTCCTTTAAAGAAATTTGAAAAAATGTTAAGTATTTAGATATTTTTATAATTAATATAGTCACAGAATGCTATAATCGCCAATTACATAAAATGTTTTAATTTTCTTATGATCTTTGATTGACCAATAAAATTATATGATAAAAAAAATTTTGAATAGCAATCGTTGTTCTGTAACCTTTTATAACAGCATATACTTGGTCATTTAACAAATTTTATATCGAGATATAGATTTTATATTGGATCTTTTTTGTTATTTTATTAATAAAAAAAAACAAAAATATTACATTTCTAAAGTGTCTAAATTTATTAATTTTTCAATATTTTCAGGTAGACAGTAGTGTGATTTGTATTTTTTGACAGCCCACTCAGCAACTCTACCTTCTAACCTTTTATCATAGACATCCATATACCTCAAGGACTTGCGGAAAAATTTGTGAATTTTTGTTACAGAGACATTAACAAGAGCTTTTGGAACTAGTTGTAGTAAGTCAGTATAATTATAAGTACATAGTTTTCATGTTTCTTTTTTTACATACCCCCAATACCTTTCTATAAAATTACATTCACAATGAAATTTAGGATATTTTTCAAAAATATGTCTTTTTTTAAGAATTGGTTCTTCTAAAATCGATTTTTGTTCACAAAAATCAGGTTGTTGAGATATTATTCTTCGCACACAATGTAATGCACTAAGAATATATGCCTTAAAATCCCTACTCTGTAGGGTAAACCAGGACAGGGTTTGTGTAACATTCAACGATAGTACTATAATGTATCGAAAGAGGATGTTCGATTTGGCAGAGCCAAGTATATGCTTTATTAAAGTGTATGCAAGAAGTAGGCATTGTTGTCTTTTACATTAGAATAAATGCTGCTATATATACTATTTACTAAATATGCCAAATGTTCTATATGTTCTAAATGTGCTGAATGTCCCGAATATTCCATATGTGCCGAATGTGCTAAATATGCTACCTATAGTAATGCACCTATACAAACAAATATGCATTTGATCGTCAATTTCGATTATAGTTTGACGATCTAATTTATGCTTATAACATTTCTTCTCTACTTAGTTTGTTCATTCTATGAACTACATTAAGTCTTGAAAGTTGTCTGCCTTCATAGTTCTAAGGTCAGTTAGGTTTAGTTTCTTAGTTCGGTATACTTGTTCCAATCTGTACACTTCGAATAACCAGTAAGTTCTTCTTGTGGCTGTGTAATAGTGTTTTGTAAGTTTCTTTCGATGTTCGATCTGTTGGTCTGGGCTTGCTTTGTCTAGAAGTTTCCTTAAATAGAAACTATAGACTAAGCTTCCGATATGGTTCTTGAATTTTGTATTTTTTAATACATGTCGATAGGTTATTTCTACTTTTTCGTCCAAAGTTTGTCTTTCATCGTAAGGCAGAGGCGCAGTCAAGACCTCACATGGGTTTATCTCCAATAGGTCATTGATGATTTCATCCATTGTATATGTCATCTTCATGCTTAAACTTAAGTTTGTTTTTTTTTTTTTTTTGATAGAAAAGGAAAAATTCGTCTTCAATTTTCCTTTTTGTTATTTCTTTCTTATTCTCTCCCTTATTATGTACTTCCTTCTCCTAACTTTCTTTCGCTCTTTTTGCTTTCTCTCTTGTATGTTTTTGTTTTTGTTGATTTTTTTTTTTTGCTTCTTTATTTATTTATTTTTTTTATTTTTTTTTATTTTATTTTTTTTTTTGCTTTTTTATTTTCTCCTCTCCTTATTCAACACCTCCTTTAGACTCCTTCTTTATTCTGTCATCTCCTTATACTAGGTCATTCGTCGGGCTTCCAGGTATTTTTTTAATTATGCTTTGTTGGTAGGTGACTTCAGAACTTTCCTATCCAACATTCGTAATTTATAAGACCCATTGATCAAAACATTATGTACAAAAAATAGACCTTTTCATTTTTGGTTTAGTTTGTGGCTATGGGATATCTGGTGCACTGCATCGAACAATAAGACCTTATCACCTATCTGATATTCAGATGTAATGTTAATGCATCGATCATATTGTTCTTTTTGTTTTACTTGTGCTAATCATATTTGTTTCAGTGCCTTATTTCATTGTTCTGGTATTTTGTTTAATAAATTGAAAGTTCTCTGAATTATAGTGCCATTTAGAATATCAGGAGTATTACTGGGGTGCAGGGGCAAACGGGCCTCCCTTCCATATACTAAAAAGAACAGTGTCATTCTTGTTGAACTTTGCTTTGCAGTTCGATAAGAAAATAGGATCGGTTGAATAAATTGATCCCATTCAGTAACATTTTGTATTGTCTTTGCCAATGATTCACATAGTGTTTTATTGTATCGTTCAACAAGGCCGTTACTTTGTAGATGGTAGGGGGTCAACAGTTTGTGTGTTATTTGAAATTTCTTTAACAGTGCTGTAATCAATTCGTTCCTAAAGTGTGTGCCGCGATCTGAAGCTAAGTATTGCAGGCACCCATGCCTGCAAATTATTTCTTCGTATATGAATTCAGTGATCTCTATTGCATTATCTTTTTTAAGTGCTCTTGCTTTGGGCCATTTTGACATATAGTCAGTGGCCATGACTATATATCTTTTATTCCGAGGCATTATGGGCAAGGGCCCTACAATGTCAATGCCAATTCGAAAAAATAATAAGTCCACTTGTATCAGGTGCAGAGGTTCTTGGAGCTTGTTCTTTCTGCGTCATTAACATAAATCGCATGTACATACATATTCTTTAATTCTTTCGAACATTTGGGGCCAAAAATAATATCTTCTTATTTTATCAAACATTGCTTTTTGACCCATGTGACCTCTGGTGGGATGATTGTGTGCAAGAAATAATATAGGCTCTATTTCAAATGCTTGTGCGACTTTTAACCAATTTTCTTTTTCTCATCTATCTTTTCTGTATAATATGTTTTCTTTTACTTTGAAGAATTTAGATTTTGAGACTATTCTTAGTTGCTCTTGCTTGTTCAAGTCCGATGGCAAATGTTGTTCCAGTATATATCGTCTTAGTTGATGGTAGTATTTTGAGTCCATTTTTTTTTTTTTTGATTTCTTGTTATTATTATTATTTGGGTGCCAGGATACCAGTAACCTGGGCTGTATTGGGTTCAGATTTTCTTTTTCTTTTTATTGTTTGTTTTTTTTTTTTTTAAATGCGAGAAAGGGCGTCTGCATTAGAGTGTTTTCGCCCAGGGTGATGTTCGATACTGTAATTATACAGTTGCAAACGGAGGATCCAGCGGGCACGACGGCCTTTCAGTTTTGAAGTTTCCAACCACTTCAATGCTGAATGGTCAGTTATAACAGTAAATGGCCTATAGCCAAGGTAGTGGTGAATATTTTCGATCATCCAAATAACAGCAAGACACTCTTGTTCTATCGTAGAGTAGTTGCGTTCTGGCCTAGTGAGACTTCTCAATGCGTAAGCGACAACGTATTCCTTATGATCGTCTCCGACTTAAGCCAAAATGGCACCTAAGCCTACTTCAAAGGCATTGGTATGCAGAAAAAATTGTCGTTCAAAATCCAGGTAACACAAGATTGGAGCAGAAATCAAATGTCATTTGAGAGTATCGAAGAATTGTTGTTGATCATTAGTCCAGTTGTATCGTTCATTTTTTTGTAATAATTGATGCAGGGGTTTTGCAATTGTTGCAAAATTTTTAATAAATTTGCAGTAGTATGAAGATAAACCCAAAAATCCTCGTAGTTGTCATATGTTGCGGGGCACTGGAAAATTTTGTACTTTGTCTACTTTGGCCTTGTCTGGTTGAATTCCATCTTTGCCAACTATGTGGCCTAAAAAATATAGGTTCTGTAAAAAAAATTGACACTTTTCTAAGTTCAATTTAAGACCTACATTGCTAATTAATTGAAAAACTTGATTCAAGTGATTAATATGTTCAAGAAAGTATAAGAGTAAATGTTAATATCATCAAGATAAACTGCAACGAATTTATCAACAAAAGGACCCAAGATTTTATTCATCAGTCTCTGAAATGTCGCCAGGGCATTACAGAGACCAAATGGCATGACCGTAAACTCGAATGTTCCATATTTCGTGATGAACACAGTTTTTTCGCAGTCTTTTTCATTCATTTGAACCTGCCAGTAGCCACTAGCAAGGTCCAAGCTACTAAACCATCGAGCACCACTAAAAGCTTCGAGAAGGTCATCGATGTGGGGGATGGGGTACGCATCTTTTTTCGTTACCTTGTTTAAGCGTCTATAATCGACGCACATTCTCAATTTTCCATTTTTTTTTGGCACCAACACTATAGGTGATGCCCATGGACTGAATGATTTTTTATTAATCCCTTTTTTTTTAGTTTCTCCAATTCTTCCTGCACAAACTCTTGTTCGTTTGGGGCCAATTGGTATGGTGGTTGCTTGATGGGTTCAGCTTCTTGGGTCTTGATCACGTGCTTCATGAGGTTTGTTCATCCAAGTTCTTCCAGTCCATTTGCAAACAAGGTTCTGTTGTTTTTAAATAATTCCTTTATTTCTTCTTTATATTTGTCGTCAACATTTCCTTCTTCTATGATCTTATTCAATTGTTCTTCTATAGTTGATTTTTCATCAACAGAGACCTTTTTTCCAGTTGAAATTTCTTTCATTACTGTCAAACATATAGCTGGGCTTTCAATTTCCACCATTTTTCTACTTTTTTTTGTTTCTTCAGCACTTTCTTCATCAGATGGAACACAATCAGACGAAAAGCTTTCAAGTTCTTCAAGCTCTTCTCTTTCGTATTTGAGCTCATCGAACAATTCATCAGCATCGTCTTCATCATGGTCATCTGATTCATTATTTTTTGGTATTTGTTCTTTTCACTTGCCTTTATCCGTATGCATAATGGGTACTTCAAACCTTTTTCCCAAATATCTGATGACTAGTTTTCGCTCATCAAAGTCCAACATGGTTCTAGCTTTTTGGAACCAATCAGTTCCTAACAGTAATGTTTCGTCAACTGATTTCAAGACTTGTAGAGCTGTAGGTATTCTTACATTTGAAATGTCAATGTTGACTTTTGATATTTTTCCTAAGGTTCGTTCTCTTGCTCCTGTTGCAGTTACAACTACTGTCTTTGATTCTTCATCAATTACAAGTTCCAATCGATCGGCCAGCCTTTTTGTGATGATACTGACTGCTGCGCCTGTATCCAATACTGCAACCATGGGATTATCGCCAATATGAACAAAGCATTTCACAGCCATAGTACGTTGATTTAGTTGGAGGTCTACCAGGTTTGCTTCCTTAGAATTAGAGGGCCTTCTCATAACCTTTGCTAAGTTCCTATATTGATTTGGGTATTGTAAAAGTTGTCCAACTGTGGCATTTGTTTTTATCATTAATAGATCGTTGGCAACGTTGTATGGTTCGACTTTATCAATAATCAACGGTCCCCTTTTTCTTCAGGGTTTACTTAGGTTTTTAGGGCCAGAAGAGATTATTTCAATATTATTTTTCGGAGCCATTGTTTCATCGATATTTATCGGGGGTGGGGAGACTATTCACTTTCTTTTTCGTTCTTGGTTATCATTGTTGTTTATCATATTTTTCGGTAGTCGACCTCTTTGTGGTTGATCCACATTGTACAATTCTTCTTCCCATACTTCGTTAATGTAGATTTCCTCGGTTGTATCACAATAGTTTACCTTTTTAGGTTGATTATTCTTGTTATAATATCCATTCTGCTGGTTTTGATTATTTTTGGGAAGGGTGCAATTATGTGCAATATGGTCTTTCTTATTGCAATTGAAACATACAATGTCAGGGTTTCTTGGGCGTTGGTTGCTTTGATTCCTTTAATTGGGCTGATTATTATAATAATTATTATTTCTTTGATTCTAGGTTTTTGACTATGCCAATGAGGTTACCATATTGGCGTAATTGATTGACATTTCATTCATTGCTTTTATTAGGGTTTCTATATTGCTTTGCAGTGCTTGTTGGGCCGTTTGTTGGCCTTAATATTCTCTGGCTTCAACCTTCTTTGCACAAGAAATTGCAGCGTCAAGTGTTGTAGGAGTGGTCATGATAACATATGTTGCCATTTTTCCATTTAAACCATCAAAGAACATACGTACAATATATGGGGCGGGTAGCTTTCCACTAGTTTCGACGCAACGTAAAAGTCATTTGAATTTTGTGGTGTATGAGTTGATTTTTTCGCCTAGTTTTTGTGTTAGCGCATTCAGTTCTATTTGCAAACGATGGTGTTGGTCGGGTATTGCAAAGAATGTTGACAGTAAATGGAAAAAACTTTTATCTTGGTTATTTTTATCATTCCAGTATTTAATCTTTGTCTTGTTCTCTCGGTACCAATCTGCTGCTAAATCGCTGAGATATCTGGTGGCGATTGTGATTCTTCTTTTGTTGCTTCAATTGTTTGTCTCCACAGCTTGTTCGAATGCTTCGAGCCATTCAATCGGGTCTTCGTCTTCTTTTTCATAGAACTTTCTAATTAATATAAGATTAAGTTCTTTCTTTTCGGGTACGTTGGCCTTGATAATTCTTTTTGTTGCATCTTCAAATTGCTGGGCAAATTTATCTAATAATAGTTGTAGTTGTGCTGAATCCATTTTAACTTCCTTCTTGTCAGGTACTTTTGCCGTTGTAGGATTTGTTTCTGTGTTAGTGAGTAGCGGTGATGGAGGTAATTGTTTCGATCCTTGTATGCTAAGACCGAAGGTGCTCTTTGCACTCTTGGTAGTCATGGGGTTCTTTTTTTCGCTCACTTTGAAAGTTATGTGATAAAAAAAAAAAAAAATTTGTGTTTGTACAATTTTTGCACTTTTTTAGCTGTAAGTTTTAAGATTTTTGAGTTTTTAGTAATAAGTGTGTTCGTGTTTACTGAAAGAAATTAAAAGGGAGACGAATATAAAAATTTATTTTTCTTGAGGTTTTTTATATTTGATTTTCCAGAACCATTCAGCTTATATATTGATTAATAATGATTGTCTTGAAGTTTGTTTGTAACAAGTCTGTCACTTGGATAATTTTTTCGGCTTATTATGTATATGTTCTATTGTTCTATTGTTTAAGTGTCGATTTCTATGACAGACTTCGTCACTATTACTTATTTTCTTTATTGTAGATCCTTAAAGCTTATGTTCGTTACTTTCCAGTTTGCAGTAGTTTGTTTGCTGATCCTTTCTCTAAGTTTTTGGATTACACTTGCGTTATGTAATTATTGGTTTATATTTTAAACGCTTCTCTTATTTTTATTGTAAGGTTACTGATTTGGTTTTTCTAATGTGTTGGTCTTGCAAAAATAAACTCTTGACCTTTTCTTGCTTTTGTTAAAGCCATGTTACGTCAGGGAAGTATTTAAAATTACTGCGCTCTTTTTCGATGCTCTGTTCTTTATTTAATCTAATTGTCTCTTATTTCTTTATTAAGCTCCTGCTTTTTCTTTGGTCTCAATTTTTGACCTTCCTTTATATTCCGTCTTAGGCTTTTCCTTATAATTCCGACTTCGATTGATAGTTGTATCGGTTAGTTTTTGACTTCCAATAGTCTTATAGTCGTTAGTCTTTTCTTTCGACAGTTTTTAGCTTCTTTGTATCCTTTAAGTATATCTGTTTATTATTTTGTAGTCTACTTTCTTGTTTCCTAATGTCTTTCCCTAGTATTCGTGTCTTCTTGGTTTTCTTTATATCAGGAAGGGGGTACGGATGAATCTCACAGTAATCCACCAAATGTAATACACCAAGAACGTACGCCTTAAAATCCCTACTCTTTAAGGTAAACCAGGACAGGGTTTGCATAACGTTCAACGATAGTACTATAATGTATTGAAAGAGGACGTTCGATTTGGCAGAGCCAAGTGTATGCTTTATTAAAGTGTATGCGAGAAGTGGACATTGTTGCCTTTTACATTAGAATAAATGCTGCTATATATACTATTTACTAAATATGCCAAATGTTCTATATATTCTAAATGTGCTGAATGTTCTGAATATCCCATATGTGCTGAATGTGCTAAATATGCTACCTATAGTAATGCGGCTATACAAACAAATATGCATTCGATCATCAATTTTGATCATAATTTGATGATCTAATTTATGCTTATAACAACAACAATCTAACCTTTCTGAATCTTTTTCTTTTTTTTTACATTTTTTACATAATAGTCAAACAATTTTTGATGGTTATAAATTACGCTCCACAAGTATTTGTTTTATTCCTTTAGGTTCTCTTCTTACTTTTTCTACTTCATAATCATCTGGAAATACTATCGACTATATGATTTTCTCTCTATTTTTATTGATATAATAGCTATCATATATTTTGGATCGTGATCCTCTGGGTCCTAAATTCATTTTTGTTGCCACTAGTGCATCTTCTGCTATTGCATTATAATTTGTTGATTGGTTGAAACTGAAGACTCCAACACAGCCAGGATGAAGCACCTCAAATATCAGAATTGCTTGTTGCACTAACTAATCCAATATATGTTCTGATTTTCAGTAACCATTTGCCTGTATAGAATGAAAAATGAATGCTTCCTGGTATTTAATATGTGGATTCATCTTCATTTGCTTATCAGATAGTTTTAATAGTCTATGACAAGGACAAAGAAAGGCTAAACCATTATGGAATAACCCTCTATCTTTAGACGTAAAAGATCTTCATCTTTTCTAATTCATATTCTCTTTTGGCTGTCATTCACATAAAAATAGTATTCGTTATGTGTTATCTACAGTATGTATTTATTATTATACATATAATTAGCAACTGTAGTAATTATGATAGGTGAATATTATAATAGGTAGATATTACGATGAGGTGGATATTATAACAAGATGAAAATTGTGGCAAAATTATAATTATTACATAATTTTGTAGCAATTAATTATGAAAACACCTATTTTTACTATGAAAATTTACTATTTCCACCATTGAACATAATTTATTCATTATGTTTATATTGTAATAAAATTTACTAAAAACTATCAAGCTGTAGCAAATTTTAAAGTGATGAAGGTCGAATGGAAGATCTTTTATTTAAAGGAAAATAAAATAAAATAAAAGAAGAAATATAAAAATAAATAAAAACAACTAAAAATAAAGAATAAATATTTAAAAATAGAATTTAAATTTAATAGCCTCCTAGATACT